CATGCCAAATAGTTAATCCAAGTATATTATTCTTGAGATGCACTAAGAATGGCGATCACCGGAAGGAAACCTGTCCACTGTAATGCAGTGCGCCAACTTCCCATCGTTTTTGGGTTCGTGTCTAAAGTCCCCTCTTTCTGTTCCGCAGAACTATGAGTGTGCCATTCACTTGTGCATTGTTGCCCACGAATACTAACCACCAGCGGGCTTCACTCCACAAAGGTTCTGTCATTATTATTCTCGAAACCTGGAAATGTTTCTGCTACAAAGATTCGCGAGCACCGCTCATTGGGAAGCCCCCAAATGTATTATTTGACTGCAAGAAATGCCGGCTGTAAGATCAACTGGATTGAGGAAAAGTCAGATTAAAACTAACTGCTGTCTGGAGGTCACACACTCCCTGTTTCCAGAGCGGCGTCCAAAATACAGACAGTGCAAAAATACTCTCTATCCAGCCAATCTAATAAGACATTTTTCGGTTTCCATGAACAACAACGAACGCAAGCGAACAGCCATGTGCGAAACACCTATTAAACACTATCGAACAATAAGTCAATCAACGGAGATAAAATGATTTAAAATTGACAATTTCCATCTTGCGTAACAAAGGTGAAAGGCAAACCCGCTTCGGCCACTGTGTAGCCGGTCGTGCAAAAACAACTGTTGCTGACGCGTGTTGTACACGCCTATCATCACCAAACTTCTACGGGCTGTTAAGCACTGAAGCCTGAAATAGAACCGGTACGGTCCTGTCAATTTTCCGTGTCCGTTAAACAAGGAGTGCTTCGGTCTGCCAGATTAACCTTGAACGCACCCATCATGTGGCACACAGTGGCGAGAAACATGGGATGGCATACAAATCCACAACTCTTGACCGAAAAAATCATGAAAAATTTCAAGTGATTTTTATACAAGAGTAGGCTAAAATGATTTCGATTGCCGATCTCCTAACCAAAGGCCCCAAACAGAGGGTGAAAAAACGTCAAAGGATTGGCCAAATTATGCGTTACGGATCCATGGTTGCCCACAGAACGTGAGTGAGTGTGAGTGAGTGGCGGCATACTTGAAATGGATTCATAGGGCGCGTAATTGTTTATCCAGGGCCAGAAGCCTGATGATTTTGCGTGCAATTTCACAGTCAGGTTCTTGTGTTAGACCACGGTAGTACTGTTTATTGCCAACGTTTTTTCCTACATTTATTTAGCAACGGCATCCTCAAACATATCTTCCACCTGGCCGTCGAAACACCTCATGATCATTTTTCTCTCTTACCCTCATGATGAATGCTTGAGACGGATCCCTAAATTTTGACTTCTTGAATCATATCGGGGAGGAAAATATCCAGGTGGTGTTTGTTTTTTTACTAATTTGTAAGCCTGAAAACATCAGATTCCGACATTCGCAAACAAAAAAAAATATTCACTTCGAATTGAACGCTAACTTTCTCCTGAAAGCCCTCTGTTAATCCCAGGATAATGATGGGATCAAAACGATTATGCCAACACTGACTGGCAACACTTAAGTTAACAAATGAGTAAGAATCTGTACACGGGCATCACAGTCAATACTCCAATCGGATTTTCCGTTAGGCTATTTACCTCACTAACCTGATTTGCGTTTCAAGTCTGCGGAGTGAGAGGTAGACTGAAAATATTCACAGAATTTTACCGGTAAAGCTATGAGATCAGCATCTATCCACCTGTAGATACGGGATCACAAAACACGGTAATATATCACAATGCTGGAAAGCTTGTGTGACCATTAATCTTGGGCTCCAGCCAGTTTTCAAGCGGCTTAGACAAATCAGGTCAGTCTGTGCCACGAGGATCCTGTAAGTTTCACACGAGGAATCGGACTAAGAGTTTGTGAGAAACGCTCAGTCCGTTATTAAGTATGGCTAGCTTGCATAGTGAGCATGCGCGCCAGGCAAGTTATCACCTACGAGAGCGTGAACTACTCAGGATCTTGGTTAGGTGGGCTGGCAGGGACCACTTTTCCGGATCAACTAAAAATGGCTACACTTTCGCATGAGCCTTTTTGTTTCTATGAAACTAGCACAGATGGTCTTCACTGCTACAGCTTTTATGCAACCATGAGACGTACCTGTAGAGATGATCTTCATGATAGGTGGTTTTATTCTCCCAATCCAGGAAACACCTAACCAAATGAGTGCTTCCATTCAGATGTCCTTACTGAATAAAGTTTGTGACTTGCGATTGTGACACCTACAAGCGGAATACATATTTAACTCCCTGACCAGGCTATACGACCAAAGGGGAGCCAGTTAGACGGCCAGCCTAAACGTTATCATCTAGCATACCTGGTCAATAGCTGGATGTTTGAAGTGGTCATATGGTGAGGAATTAATGAAGCCACGAGACTGCGTGTTTGGTTCGGACATTATAAGTCTCTTCACTTAGGTTCTACTACGACCAGCAAGTGATATGAGGGTTGTGTGAAAATACTAACCCCGACAGGTGGATTTTTTTCAAAAACCCTTAAACATCAGTCATTGATTTCTATTCAGCTATATTAACCAGCTTTGAATAAGTTATTCGGAGGAAACCGGTGCCAATGCCACTGCAGTCGAACACTGGAATTCATAATCTCCAAAGGACTGCCCACGATGAAACAGACTTACAAAGTCGCTGTATTCCAACGGAAGACGGTGACAAAGGCCACAGTTCTTTGTCATGTGATGTAATGGGCAGAATGCTTCTTCAGGCAGCTACTTGGAGAGACAGACAAATACTCTCCGGAAATCATCCAGTCTACAAATTCTGGCCGAACACAGGTCTCTATAATCGACAAACTATTTGGTTGCTGACCTACCGCAATATTCAACTTGCATTCCTCATTTCGAAGGTATCAGGGATCGCGTTTAATTTGAACCGAAAATAGACTGCAGTTATTTACTTAGCCCACATCCAAACGAGTTAGGTTAAACTGGACAGCACTTTTTATCCGATAAAATTCCACTGCAAGAAGGTGTTCCGGAACAGGCTAGTAACCGAACTTCTGGCCTCACAGCCTGATACAATTCGTTTCTATGGTTAAGGCAGTGTAACCAAAAATATCAAACTGCACTTGTTCACCAAACCATTCAGCAAGCTAGACCCGCTCGATGTAGGAGGCCAAACAAGCAGCATCTCTCTTCAGGTAGTATCTATTCAACTTGGTGCGACAAATCCTGCATCTGATGAACCGTACCAAGTGAACCGTGAGTTATTAGCTGTCACCAAGTGTCCATGTGTAACAATATGTGTGGATAACAAACTTCTCCAGGGGGAGTTTAGGGGCATATAAACACTTAGCCAGAGCAAATACACAAAACGTACAGAGGAAATGAGGGGGGGAGGAGGGAAAAAAGTGTCGATGTAATACACAAAGTGTTTTCTAAAATATCAGTTTTTTGGGCCTCAAGCACTATCACGATTTGCTACCGAGACAAACGCCACAAACTTGTGCCAATGTGAAAAGAATCCATTTGAGACTAAACAAATAAGTAGAAAAACTAGCTGATGAGTTAATAGTTTTCAATAAGGACTCTACCAGGACAGACCAGGTCTCACGTGCATTTTTAACTCTATCTATCTTATCCCTTGGGGAGATTTAAAAGTGTACGTGATGCCTCAAGAAAATAGGGAAAAGTTTCAAATTTTCATTCACCCGAACACTGTCGATTAGTTAACTATGTTTTGCACTACAAAATACAATGACATACTGTAACTAACTACACCATACTATACTATACTATACTATACTATACTATACTATACTATACTATACTATACTATACTATACTATACTATACTATACTATACTATACTATACTATACTATACTATACTATACTATACTATACTATACTATACTATACTATACTATACTATACTATACTATACTATACTATACTATACTATACTATACTATACTATACTATACTATACTATACTATACTATACTATACTATACTATACTATACTATACTATACTATACTATACTATACTATACTATACTATACTATACTATACTATACTATACTATACTATACTATATTATACTATACTACACTATACCATACTATACTACACTACACCGCACTACACTATGGGCTCGAGGGTTATTTGGATTCCGCTAGCCGACCACGTCCATAAACGCTACCTGAATAGCATCTGGGGTAAACAGGAAGGTTTCTAGGTATCCTGGAGCGCATTGTTGCTGACTATTGGTAGTAAATTGGGAATTCGGTTAAAAAGGGATGGTGTGAAGCGTGCTTTTCTCAGACAACTATCAGGTGAAGCGAGTAGACACCCATTCATTTTAGAACACCAGCAATTGTACTTTGCTGTCCCAAATGGTTTAAGATAATGCCAGCAGAGGGCCAAGTACTATTTCGCTGCTTCTCAAATATTGCCAGTCTATAACTACCACTTCAGGTGCATCACGGGTGATTCCTTTTTGCCCGCCTGCTATTTTCTGAAAAGAGTAAAGTTCAGCGTATGGCTGAACTCTTCTTGACCCACTATACCTCTGCTACAAACGCGCAAAAACGGATTGTCGACATAGTAACTACAATCTTAATATAACTGTCCTTATTCCGGCACCCAATAAAATTCAAGGAAGGAAGACTACAACGCAGCACATATCAAGAACCGGCTAGTAAGAAGAGAGCGAAGAACAAATCGATAGTCTGGAATAAAGACCAGAGCAATATCAGAGCAAGCACCTAGAAAGTACCATGTGCAGCTATCCGCTCTGCCAAACGCGGAATCTGTATTCGTCTGGTTGTACGTATTCGGCTGATCAGTGACGGAGTTCACTCTGGATATCTTGATATCTTGGTTATTTCTTTTGCTGAATTAACTCAACACATTTTGAACATATTTCCGAGATTCTTCTAGGATCCCATAATTGCATTTCTCCTTTTCTTCTGCTTGAACCTGTTTGAACCATTGTCTCAGAGAAGCCCGTGCCATCAACGACCATATGTTAATTACAGTACTGAAGCGAATATCCACATGAGAAGTTGACTGATTTTTCATTTGGGGTATGTGATTATTTTCGCACCTGGATCATAGGTGAACATAAGCCAATGGCTTCATAAAACGACGTGAAACATAATATTGGGTACAAATCGATTTACGTGTGTCCAAGGTCAAACTTCAATGTTTGTTCCAGACACTAATGAATTCACTAACCGAAAAAATGCTCCATGTCTAGCTGTAGAAGTGTTATCAGCCAACTCGATCTATCATCAGGATAGTAAACGTCCTAACCAGTATTACTTTGTCAATTTGCATTTATCTGGACAGCCCTATCCGCTTCAAAATCTGTGCTAGTCTGGAATAATTCTGATGAAATGAAGAAATTAGAAACAGACTATCATTGTTCTACTTGAACCCAAATTGGACTGTTTTCGAAAAATACACTCATTTGCAAATCAATTCGGTTTTCACGTGAGACTCAAGTGAATCTCTCGTTTATGAAAATAGACTGCGATATCTCGAATATCGTGCCAACTGAAACATGAGGCGGCCCGTGTGCAGCAAATTCAGCTGGAGGACACCATAAACTAGAGATTCGATTGAGTCTCGCGTGAAAACCAAATTGATTTGCAACTGGGTGTATTCCTTGAAGACTATCATTCTTCATAAAAAGGATAGAACAACGGAAATATAACCAAGTGCACACGTTTTTCACATTGAATCTAGTTGTTTTTGGTGTCGAAACTTCCTATTTTTCTGAGTCGGCTGAAACTGGATTGCTAGTCAGTTTATGCGAAGCATTCCTCGTATTCCAGCGAACTTTGCTCTCTCCTGCACCTTTCAGCAAAGACCCACAATGTGTTGTTCTTCCAAGTCCTCGTTTCTTGTAAGGAGTGGACAAAAACACCACAGTGTGCGCTCACCCATGCAGCTAAAAAACATACAACTAATCTTTATCATCAGAGTTGCAAAAGGACGAATAATCCAGGATTTCTTGATACAACACACCATCTATGGGGCTACTCAATCGTCCACTGCCGGGTTCCGCCTCCTTGAATCTCACCTGGTTGACGCAGTTCCATGTTCTACCTGAACAACAAATTGTACGCAACTGGTGACGTTAATCACAGAGTCACTTTTGTCTCTAGTTGATGATATTTTTTACCGGAATCTGCTACTTAAATGCTGCAGTTGACATGATGTATCATAAACGGGAGAGACTAGATTCACTTCCCTTTCAAACAGTTAATTTTTACGGTGAAAATCAGAGGAGAATCTATAGAAAGAATAATAGGCTTTTTAATTCTATGCCAAGCTATATGGCGTCTTTCATGCATATTGGACGACGTGTGATGAATCCAGTCCTTCTTTACGAGGTCACCATTTGGTCAAGCTGGTGATAGGTAGGTGGATTCGATGACCTTGGTGATACATGATACGTGGTGAACATCGTTTGGTACGGCTAGCCTTGTTCGGCTTTCGTTGTGCCCCCCACTCAGCTACGCGTATGTTGGACAGTTGAAACTCCCCGTTTTCTCTCTCAAAAGTGCATTTTTTCGTGGTTTTCTCTCTCACCTTCCGCATTCCGTGAAGTGCCACAGCGTTTCTCCCTCCACGAAGAATAGGATTTCTCAATCACCCCACGACAATCCCTCGGTGCCTTCGTCCGGTTGGAACATCGGTGATCAACGCAAAGCTTGCAAAGCTGTGTGTCCCCGAGACCAGGCAATGTTTAACCGTAAACTTTAGATGGTTTTTTAGATAACCCGCAGCCGATCAATCCGTCATGTATCTATCACGTTTATTTTCCTACCACGTTTTACCTTCAGCTGTTTCTTCATTTTTCCGACACTTTAAAATGTTGACTAACTATCTTCCGCTTCATCGGCATTACCTGAAAAAATTTAAATGGTCTATTGATTTTTTCCAGTCGACGCAGAAGAACAATTGTCCTACAGCTGACTCCCGAAATAGATTTTAGGTCATCATCTTACCTGTTGTTTTAAGGTGAGGTGTGAACAAACAGTGTAGTTTAGCAAAACCCAGGTAGACATGTAGACTGCGAACAAAACATGTGGAAAACGATGATAACGGCTGAGGCTACGACATCACCCCATGATAACTATGTGCAACAGCGCCCCATTCAGCATCCATCAGTTATAATCCAACAAACTTCATGACCTACAGGACTTTGATTATTACGCTTTAGAATAGAACAAGTCGAGAAGTAAATTTTGCGGATTGTCAAATGGGTATGAAATTTGTAAAGCTGTGGATGCACCTGAGTTTCAGATACTATAAATAGTAGTTCCTGTCAAAAGTAACGAGGCGACCAAATCAAACCACTGGTCTCAAGAATCCGGCTTTAACTCATGGTGCCGGTTTCGGTTGAAACCCGATGATGATGATGATGATGATGATGATGATGATGATGATGATGATGATGATGATGATGATGATGATGATGATGATGATGATGATGATGATGATATTCAACACACGCACTTCGCATGGGGGCAGAACGTCTGCATTTAGCCTGTTCAACTCAGCGAACAGACAAACGAGCAACAACACTCGGGTTCGGCTGTCTATGGCGCAATTAGTCCTGGCGGACAAAGACTTGTGTCGTGTAATACCTGATGGACCGGCTTTACCACACACGGCAAGCTAAGAAATATTTTTTGATCGACAGCAACGAGGGGAAAACTATATGCTGCCTTTTAGATTTTCATTTGCGATAGATTTAACTCTAGCGACGAGCGTCACACTGAAGGTACTCATTGAGTATCCTGGTCCCAAATATATAGACGGTAAACCTCTAAGATCAGACCAACATGGGAATGACGGTGTTCAGATAGTTCATAACTTTCAAATGCTATCTGTCTGATCCCCCGTAAATAAGTACACATCAAAATAAGCGATGGTATTGAGAGACATAACAAGGTAGCAACAAGTTACTGCAAGACGATGGTAACCAGCTGATAAAGGTCCCAAGTGAGTGTGAGTTGCTATGTCATCAGCATTTGCGCGGCTAATGTGGGGAAAAATACAAGCCAGGTATGATCTAAATTAGGGGAGGATATCTTTACAACTGCAAAGTTCTCAACCATTCATATCAGCACGAAATTGAGTGCGTTACATGCAGCACTATGGGTTTGATTCTTATCCTTTGTGACTTGAAAAGGATTTCGCCTGATAGTCTTTCTCGAGGAGAAAACTATCAGTGTAAAGGTGGTACTACTACCGATGGGGAGGCATGCGAGTAGTAAGTTTTGGTCTTGTAAATTCGCTTTGCGTCTCTTGAAAAGGGAAATCTGTTGTGGAATTTGTGGAGTCACTTTGTAACATTTGCTTTGATTTGAGCGAGGAATGATTTGAGTCAATGAATATCCAGGAAAGTTCAAGAAGATGCGTTCAGGAGAAGATGTATGTCCAGTTTTTGTAATTAAGATGCATATGAGAGTTTTGTTTCCCCGTCCAATGGTCTGTGACCGGTCAGTTGGCATTTTCTAATAGATAACTCCGCAGCAAAGGTATGCAAGAGAGTGCATTTTGCTAATTTCGTGAAATTTGGGTTCAAGTGGAAAATAAGATTGACGAAAACTAGGCGACTGCGCCTACTTGATGAGCCTCGAGGATGGCAAAACCGGTCGTGGGCTGTAGAAGAATTTTCACCAAATTTATTAGTAGTGTATTACGTTTATAAATTTGAACATCTTCACGATGATAGTTCGGAGCACGTCGAGGATGATGAGACTACTTATCATGGTGAATGAGGTTCTATCAGGTTATTCGATTATTCGGTTGACACATCACGTTTTTGTATACATCATGTTATATCATGATCGTTTATAGACGTTACGCACTCATGATCGTAGTCTAGTCATGCATGCTTACTGTTGGAAGAAGATGTATAGACAACTTGATTACCCAAGCAAACAAATTTTCTGTCATATTTTTGTAATGCGCTACTCATAAGGTTGCTGAAAACTCCTCAACAGCCCACGACCGGCTTGTTGTGAACGGCATCAAAGCCTTTTTTTACTTATAGACTGTCTTACTCCCTATAGGAAGCATTTTACCGCACTACTTAAATCTGTTCAACTGAACGATCGAAATCCTATCTCATCATTTTGCTGGCCCCACCACCTCCCGGCATATCGAAAATTAACTCAACCCAGTCTAAAGCACTGGTTCTCCTAGGAGAACGCGAATCATGCTGTTATTTCCATCCCTCCATACCTGCAACTCATTCACAAAATCCTCTCGCGTATTTTCTACACCCTGCAGTCAGATGTCACGGAACTACGCACTCGTGAACACCAAAAAAGCGGAAATGGCTTGTTCGCTTTTTTCGCCCTCAACTTCCTGTTCGTATGCGTCCGCCTATCTTTGCGTAGCAGTGAATAAATTCTGAGGCGTCGTAGAAAACAATTCATCCCGTGTTATTATTGGACATTATAGTCACATATTTTGAGAACGATGGAAGGTTGACAATGCAACCGAATGGTGAATCCGTCATACCTAGTGATTTCCCGTCGGTTTTGAAGACTGTTCTTTTGGAAAATGAAAGGGAAGGAAGAACGGTGTTAGTTACTATATTTATCTGTGATGTAAGGTGTCGGGGACTAATGAACGATAAGTGATTCTAAACCGGCCGGTTTTCGATTACACATTCTGAGTAGGTGGGAGGATTTGTTGTCAAAAAGCGCACCACTGAGGACTTTACCATATTTTTGTCCAGGGATTGACTAACTCACCAGGTGAGCCCACAACTTATGCCTGTGTGTCACCTAAACATGGATGCTGCCTAGATCAAGTCTTCCAGCGCGTTACCAAAATGTTATTCTGTTCCCGTCTCCTCATACAGCTCGCTTCTTTCCAAGTCGCACTGTAAAGCTTCACTAGGTATGTCTATAATGAATAGCTGTTTGATTGCGCATTGTTTTTTCTAACACTACTGACTAAGTTCTTATCAGTAGTTCTTGACGGTTTCAGAGCAGAAAATAAAGTTTGCTAATATATGAACCGTTAGCCCAATCGTGTCCCAATCGTTTTCCGCATGTTTCGGGCCAATTCTATTGTAACTAGATGTCAAAGGTGAACACTGTTCGAATATTTTACGTACATCTGACTCACTCTGATCGGAACTAGACGGCTAAAGCCCTTTCGCAGCTTTCATAATGCACTCGAATTTGAGGGAGAAAGTTCGCATTCTGGATTCCTTGTAGGCGAAAGTGATCTCTGAATCTTGAAGGAAACTACTCACAAGGGAACTGTATGGCAGGTGGGATTCTGCTGAGTAGTTGAGCACTTACGTACGGAGCTCCAAGAAGCGTGAAACAGGTCTTTGTCCGTCAGACAGCTTTGGGCAACCATATGAGTAGTGCTTCTTTATAAAACTATACCATGATATCTCGAATATAAATGAAACATGATTTGAACCTTGTGCGGCACATTCAGCTAAAAAACATGAACAAGCGCTTCAGCTGGGAATCAGGTGCACAAATGAGGTTTTTCGCAATATTATCGAGTCCTTCATCGTGTGATAACTTACCAAATACTTCGGGCTTTTATTCGTCTGAAAGACGTCACAGCTTTGGACAAATCCGACCATACTACTGATTAAACTACTATCTAACAGATTGTCAATTCATCTGTTTGTGTTGGCATACTTTCGAGAGTGGCCGGTAAAGGGATCGTTTTCAGACGGAACGCGCACTGCGTCAACACTGTGAGCGTTCTGCTTCTTCTTACTTATCTACCAATTACCTTTGCGAACTGGAAAGTGGATATCGTAAGTTGTGTTCGTCGGTTAAAATATCAGACTATTCACTTTCCTCGGCTTCCATCAAAGTCTTTCTAATAGCCCCGAACAGCAGTGCACAGATTAATACTGAGTGCTGCCGCGCAGGATCTGACCAAGAAGACCGATCAGTCGACCAGAATTTACCTTAGCTGACTGGCATTCGCGTGTTGAATCGGTGATTTCCTACCAAGTTTTGACTGTGGAAAACACTTGAATCTCGAGGCATCCGTTTTGCTCAAGCTATCTGCCTCCTAATTGATATTTAACATCCCGGAAATGTCTGACATTTGGACAGAGCCGGCAGCCCCCTTCTCAGACCACGCCCATCAGGCGAATAGTCCGTTTTTCTTCCGCGGCTGATGATGACATTGATGGGAATCATGGTGATTACGTCGATGATGATTCTTGCTCACTTGCTGCTTGTCTGTGAGAAGAGAAATCCGTACCGCGGTGAGCTTCTTTGCCAAGTTCACGTGCACCAGTGTTTCAGTCGGAGCTGCCAGACTGTCAGATCTTCATATCCTTCGTTGATCACACACGCACGCACGCACACACGCAGTTGTCTTTGGGCGTATGTGACGGCGAACATGAGTTTGCTAGTGTGTCTGTGTGTGTGAGCGTGGGCGTGAATGCGGTTGCGTCAAACCGGTCGATCGATAGAGAACGACTTGACGGTGTTAGTCGAGACGGAAAAAATGATAAATAGACTTGTCATGCATTATCCTTTCCTATCTTGATTGGGCAGTAAATTAAGGCTTCCTGTCCTTTCTCCTCCTTTGGAGTGGTGCCGTCCGAGATTTTGCGCTATCAGGGGCGTAAACTACACATTTCAAACAGATGGCAACCAAGTCCATTAGAAGCCGGTGACTGTTGCCTGAATAAATGGTTGTCAGGATCAGACTAACGGAAATCACCTGAACTGTCTGTCGTTGTTCCAAGCTCATCGTTCCAATTCATTCTTCAGATCATGCAGAGACATCACGGAAAAATACCGCGGCGGAGTGTAGTGTGCTTTAGTGACAGTATACTGCATTCAACACATTCAACTGCATTCAAAAGGGACGCATTTTATGTGCAGTCTCTTATTTCAAATTTTGAAAAACTCCTTTCCTACTAGTTAGTCTTATCTCTTCGGAGGGATTCTTCTTCTTGCAGTAGGTGCCATCCACATGTAAGTCATTTCGACATACCATTGCTGGTTACGCCGCCTGAGTAATATTCACTTCAACTGAGTGATCAATAAATTTAACAATCCACTCTGATGAGCCCTAAGGAGGGCAAAACCGACCGTGGTCTGTCGACAAGTTTTCAGCAACCGTATGAGTAGTTTTAGTTTGGTTTGCAACGCGCATCAAACCAGTTTATCTCTCGTCAATAACATTGAATAATCGGTCTGGCCCATGATATTCAGACCAATTTCAGCGCCCAACCTATAAACAATCATATGACCTAAATGTGTAATTACAGGCGGCGTGTCACGAACATCCCCAGGATTCAGACAACAGATAAGCATGTCCGACTGTGTCTCGAACACGAACACACCACAAGGTCTATCAGATCGAAGCGTTTCTGGTATTCCCATGGGATTTGACCAAAATTAATTAAACATTGTTTCCGTGGGTAAACAGTATGAGTAGGCAAAGTAGGTTTGATTAGGAGTAAACTGTGTCTGCCGGTAGGTCACCAAACCCAAATAAGAGGGAGAGGATTAACCGGGAAGAATTTTTCTGACTAGGAAGAGAACATCGGAATTTAATGAGAAGGCATACAAAACATTGCCAGATCTCCCGTTGATCAAGGAACGGTGTGACAGGAAAAAATCCTCGTGTGGATTTCAGAACCTCTCCGCATAAAGAGGCCTCTCAATAAACCACGCTGTCGTCAACAAGACGAGTTCTTAAAGATAATTTACATCACCATTCTTATTAAAGTGACAGAAAGGAAACCATTTTGATGCAAGTGATGATCAGTCCACCTCTACAGGTGAAAGTCGCTGTTATTGGCATACATCTTAGCCAGGGTGAGCGACTGATCTCACCAAATTGACAAGCTAGTCCGAGACTGATTCAGTCCATGTAGGGCGCTAATGCTGTCAAAATTCGCCCCATCAAAGTTGGTTGGAATACACGTAAGCGCAGCAGAATGCAGCTGTAGAGCTTTGGACAGTCTACAGGTTCACATTGGGACGCTTCACTCGGTGATTCTTTTGAAAATCTACGGGGCGGTGTTTTGAGAAAAACTACGGTTTTCAACCACCACTAAACAAAACTGCTTTCAGAATGCACACTCATCATTGACAGTCAGTCATTCCAAGAAAGGACAGCGGAGTTGTTGGGCTTCTCAGTTCCGCGGCATAACACCCCTAGTTTTCTCAGAAATATAGGTGATATGTGGTGGAAACGGTAGGTAATTGCTCACACGGTGAATACAAGTAAACAGCAAAACTACACGCAGTTGACAAGATCGCAAAGGGTGCGGAATTGTTCCGGAACCGTTAGCGTCACCACACAAGATGGCCTTACGGTAGGTAATTGCTCACACGGTGAATACGAGTAAACAGCGAAACTACACGCAGTTGACAAGATCGCGAAGGGTGCGGGATTGTTCCGGAACCGTTAGCGTCACCGCAATGATTCAACGTAAAATCTTGATCCCTTGAAGCCGATACCATTGATATTGGAACAAACCATGACTGACAACTGAGTTATCTATTCTTAGAAATTGTGATGTCAACAGATCTGAGAATGCGGTCCAAATATTCACCTGTTTTTTCATGTCTCTCGAACAAGACGTATAAATAGCACCTTCCAAAGTTATCTTCTATTACCGAGTGTGGGATGAAGGCATAAAGAAATCATTCCATTTATAAATCTCAGCGTAAGTTGGCCAGTCAGGCTGCAGCACTGACGTGGTTGTATCTGGATACCGCGCGCAGCTGGGCGGCGATTAATTCCCCCATTTAGCTTGAAAGGATCCTTACATCATGTTTCACTCTGTGGCAAGTTGCACGCTGGCTTCGGCATACACCCATCTGAGCTTTTCCGCAGTTCCTCTATGAATACCGAATTGCCGGTGAATTTCCATAGCATTAATTCAAACACGAATCATGACAAACTAACTAGTTTTTACTGATAATCACAAGACTGAATTTCTCAGACTTGCTAACAAACAGGAACTTGAACCTATCTATGCCTAAAACATTATGGATGAACTCAGAAAAACCATCCAATCAGGTTCCGTTATTTTTCTCCCTGATCCTCCGCTGTTCAGAACAAGCTACTAGGTTCAAAAAAACAACGTGTCTCTGTTGAGACACCCAAACTCACCTGGCTGGTTTAGTTTGTCCCATCTTCCGGACTTTTATGGTACAATATGTGACTCTTGGAAAGTGTCCCGTCCGTTCCCATTCCACTCCAGCTGACAAATCTTGCAAAAGTTTCATACCGAATAGAGTGCTGTTGAAACCGGTAAAGCGTTTCATCATGTAAATTTGTCCGACCGAGTTGGCCACGAACAACATTCGTACGAGAAGAAATAACGTGGTCAATCGAGCGTTTGGGGTGACTCCGCATAAACATCGGTTGAGCAAGGATTTGATTCGGCGAAAACGAGACTGAGATTCTGCTTGTTCTTCCAAGGTCGCGACCAAACATGAAACGGCTTTTAACCGTAGTTCTCTGTCCGGTATGGCTGCCTCCCGAGCTGATTTGAGCAGTAGCGGCAAACGTCGAGATCCGACTCGCCACAATAAGTGCGGTACCCAGGATAGCATGGCCTGACCAGCCATAACAATCACAACCCATTGATAGTATCCTATGAACTTTACTTTTTCGTAATCCACTTGGTCTGTGGGGATTTCCTCGTTTGGGAGTAGAAAGTAGGTGTTTGAGACCCAACACAGGTTTTCTGCGTACTCCTCCCAAGATTTTGTGAATTCTTGTGGTACCCAGCATTGAATAGGTTTGCCTATTTTGGGTAGAGAACAGAAATGAAACGATAGGTTAGACGTGACGAGTTGGAGGAAGGGAGCGCACACAGGCTTATGTGCGCAGATGCATTATAACAGTAGTACAGTGGCCCTAATAAAAATGTCCTATATTCATCATCATCATCATCATCATCATCATTGTCAGCTGTAATAACCGCGTACTCGTCGTACAGGCCCCAGTATAGCTGGTCTACTGAGTGATATGTGTGCTTCGTCTGAACAGCATACATAGTCAGTCCAAGTTGTCTTATATTCGATCTCTGCCGCAGGGGGATTTCGTAACCGGAAATGGGCAAAACCGCAGTCTGTGAGCGTTGGCTGATGTCCACTAACCACTACATATGGTATGTAATATCGATTAAGTTTCGGTATATACTGGATAAACACTGACAAAAGCGTTGGTCAGGTGGTCTCATGCGAGGATTTTAAAAGAAACCAATCTCAACAGGGAGCTTGAAAGTGTGCGCGAGACTAGTTGTTCGTTTGAAACGTCCAGGCCGGTTGCAGAAATTACGGTGAGAGAGAGTAAGAGCGAGAGGGTAGCGCGCTTGCAGTAAACCAGTGAAAACTCAGTGGTGAGCAGAGATCTGGCCTTATTAAAGTACACAGGGTTCAGAATCAATACCACCACAGCTCGTTGATTAGATGTAGTGACCAAGTAATTAGTGTTGCGGTGTTACATAACTGCGGATTATTTAATTAATCAACTGATATCGAATAACAGCTGTATTCTGTGAGCAGCAAGTCAGAGTTCTTGGGAAAAATCGGTTCCATTTCTCAGCCCAGGCCACCTTAGCTGGATCATTGCAGAATGTGTTGCAAGTGGTTTTGAAGAGCGATCGATGTTGGTGACCTTCACGTATAATTAAATTGAAATTTGTAATGTACTACTTAAAGGTTGCTGAAAATTCGTCGACAGCAACCTTCTGAGTAGTACATTAGAAATATGCAAATATTGCTATATCTAGGAATCGTAGCGAGATCGATGTTGGTGACCTTCACGTATAATTAAATTGAAATTTGTAATGTACTACTTAAAGGTTGCTGAAAATTCGTCGACAGCAACCTTCTGAGTAGTACATTAGAAATATGCAAATATTGCTATATCTAGGATATCGTAGCGACTGAAACATGGGGCGGCCTGGTGCAGCACATTCATTTACCTGGAAACATCACAAACGAGAGATTCAGCTGGGTTCTAGGTGAGTCTCTCGAAAGACCGAATTAGTTTGCAAGATTAGTGTGTTTCGCTAACTTGAAATTATTTCCTCAACGCTCTAAACAGCAATTTGGAGATAATTTGGAATGACTGTGTGTGGTGTCCCGAATGGACAACTATGATTGCCCTCACGCATGGCTGCTTGAGCAAGCCCACCAATCATAAAGATGATCGATAATCTAAGCGGCCTTCGAAGAATCAATAACGCCGTCATGTGTCTAGTTCCACATCAGCGATTGCTAACAATACTCATAAATGGATTAGAATAAGCCGGCATTTAAAACCCGGTTTTGAACTTCAGAATGGTTCGTCAACTGTAAAGTACTGCCTTTTTTTCACAACCGGTCACAGTGAGTACATATTTCTATTCCCAATCTCAGTATTCATTGGGACCAGTTGAACTAAGTGAAATAGGTTGGTAGGACCCTATGGTAAGTTATGAAAAGTCATCAAATTCTAAAGCGACGAAGACAAGCTAATTGAACACCAAGAGTATTATAAATGTCAGCCTATCTGGTCAGGTACTGTATGTCAACGGGATTTGTCCACCAGCCTACTAGAGCTATTCACAATACAAAGGAACAGGTCGGTGGATTTGTTTTCATTTGTTTTTACTTATACTTTTATAAAGTATTCCTCCTTCCATCTTTCAAAGCATAGCGCTCTCAGACGAAGAGCACCACAAGAAAAGAAGTAGCCCGTATCAACACTGAGCGGTAAAGAAAGTAACTAACGAGGAATGTTGCTATGAATCGTCCAGTGGGGTAATCTCTCTCTCAGAAAGTCCATAGAAGTTACAATTCTGGCTGAAGCTTACAGCCTAGTCTAATACCTTTTCCCATAGTGTCCAGTTCTTTTAAACTAGTTCCATCTTTACGCTACAATGCGTAATCATAAACGCCCCCTGTTGTTCTAAGCGATCTTCCTCAAATTTCAGAGCCCATTATCGAATCGTTTTGTTATAAGTTCAAAAAGCTGTGACTACAAATTTGGTCGACACATATTCAGTAGCTATGCCAAAAACTGTTGAGTTAAGAGAAACAAGTCCGACAAAAGATTGAGTTTCGCGTGAGCAGAGGCATGATTTCACACATTAGTTTAATCATTCCAGAGCCTAAAAATGTTGCTAGCAAATTAGAAATTCCAATCAAAAACGTCTCATCTTAAAAGTGCAGACAAAACTGACGCACAACCATCCCAGGGGAATAGTTACCACGTTCGTCATTACGACCAGCCCCAAACTGGAGAACAACAAAGCTCCACCTTCTATTCATCTAAACTGTCGTTGCTTTGCAACCTGTTTCATCAAAATTTTGAGTGAAAAGCAGGCAGAACTTGAGGAGGTGTCGGAAACTTGGAGTCTCAAGAAAAACCGAGGTCATTTTTGGTGATAAACCGCCTCCTGTTATGTCGAAAGAACATCGCTGGTTAGCTCCTGCTTGTAACTTTGTTGATAATTTCTATTCGCTTTCGAATCAACTGAAATGCGTATAAAAACCGTCCTTATCGTCTAAATATTCCAACCCCGTTTCCGGTCACCATCTCACTTCTAGATTTGTTGACGTATATGGGGCGGTCATGTTATCGAAGAAGTGGATCAAGTCAGCGAGACTGTCACGTGACTGTCATTGATTCAGAAAGACCACCCGGATTGCTACTCGATTTAGTGAACAGAAAAGCGTGAAATCGTTCAGCCTACGCACTGGGCAATTTTGAACAACAACTCAGACGCAACAAAAGAAGAGACGCAAAAACCTCACGTGGCACTGAACTGAGTGTTTTAGACAATGTGGAAGAAAGCATCGGTGTGGACACAAAATAAAACCTTCTGGTGAGAAATTAACCTAAGTTACTCATGGGCATTTAAGTTTCTCAACAGTACCGCTATGGAAGTCACTTTTTCCTACTTAGACCAGTCTAAGTCAATGTGACTAAGACACTGAATAATTTATGAGAAATTCTACAACTGGTGGACACTAGGTTTTTCTTGTTTTGAAAGCCTACCCAGGGGCAGACAAAGAGACATTCTGGTTGCCTGTTTAACTGGTTGGGCAAACTGATTTTTGCCAACTATCTTGAACCTACACTCAGAGCTCAAATTTAAGCGCTGAAAAGATCGAAATGGGGATAACTGGTTGGGCAAACTGATTTTTGCCAATTATCTCGACCTACACTCAAAGCTCAAATGTAGGCGCTGAAAAGATAAAAATGGGGTAACAGGACCTCAAAGCCTGTGTTTGTGTCCGTGCTTCAAAAGATACTAAGCCAGTGACCAAAGTCCGCCTGTGGAATGACACCTGTTGCATGATATACTGTGAGGTGGAAGAAGAGTGGAATATCAAAAATGCCAAGTGTTTGATCCGGAAATACCAAAGACCGGTGTTCACTTGGTTAGATGGTGTCAGCAGTAGTACCGCAATAGCATATACTACTTATAGTATATTCCTTGCAGTGCCACCGGCTAAGCAAATCAGCAACTGACTTGGAGACTAGTGAGCTGTTCAAATAACTTGTTCTTTAATGGCAACTACTAAAAATACGCCAACGAAAGTCCAGGAATAAGCTTGAGAACGCTTACTCTGTTTGCCTCAAAAGTAACGAGAAAACATATCAGTGGCAGCGATGACGGTGCTATTCTGAGTTATATTCTTGTTGAAGAAGAATTTGTCTCTAGCTTCACCATCAGCAGCGACAAGTTTAGAGTCCACCAGGACACTGTCATCGAGCGGGAAAAGATTCGGTTTCTAGGTTCGTCAAGATTCTTGGGATTAACTTCAGCGGCTTCCTCGCCGCGTCCCCAAGGCGTGCCCTGCGCAGACGCGTCCGCGTAGAACAGCTTACCGCGCCTCTTATGTACCAGCAGGCAACTGTAAATTCGAAAGCCGTTTAATGGAGCATTCGTGAAAACCGAATGGCTATTCCTTGGTGAAACTACCGAAATATTGCGACAGCCACTTATGACCGATAGGCAAACCCCTCGAATGTGCAGAAAGACATATGGTATTCGCCCTGCAACAAACTGTCATTCGAAAACAAGCAAAAGGGGAAAATTGAAGATAAACCAAATATATCGATTGGACAAATTAGCTCCATAGTTTTTGAAAAAGTCATCCTCCACCCTCCCTCCAGAGAAAAAGAAAACCTCGATACATTGACTGAAGAGCTAAAATGTTTTTTCCAATCTTTTGAGATGGTGGAAAAGAAACTTTTCAGAAGTGAGTTGGAAACAGCACTGGAAAAACAAGAGTTTCTGGAAGGCAGGCGCTTTTGTACTACGTGTTTTTATAAACAGTATTTCATACTACTTTTCTCCTTTGTAGGTAGACGCTGTACACATTGCGCGGTCGATAAGAGTAACTGAATTCGCTTTATAACAAAACGCGTAAGACATTTTCTAAAACACACTGAACTTTAATGAATTTTTTTAAATTCATGGCTATCTGGTGACTATAAACGGCTACTTCGTTATGGGGTAGGCTCACTGCTCTGGAATATAAAAATAACCGTTTACGCAGTTAGTTGGCATGGTAACATTAACAAGCCTTCCCTGATTGGCTGAATAACTCGTCTCATCATCCAAGAGCGTCATTTGTGACATAACATGAGGTTCCGCCTACAGGCTGTAACCTCAAAGCCTGTGCATTCGAGATTACGACAGATTGCGGCTACCATGGACACTGTCTGGATTAAGTGAGAAATGGAGCATGAATACCAGAAAGTTGCGTACATATTACTTATCAGCACGGCTTGCAAACAG